TATATATATATATATATATATATATATACGAGTTTATTTTTAGTTTTTGTTTTGAACTTTTTATAAATTTAAACTTTAATTTATACAACTCACAGTTACTTAGGGGTTTCTACAAATGTCAACTATAATATATAGTTATCAGTTATTCCTCATACCAAATACAGCATGCAGTTATATATACGGATTACTGATGTAACATCTGTAACCTGTAAGTACTGGTCTCTGCTGTTACTATCTATAATATATTGTTACAAGTGGGTTTTTACTGTTACCACCTATAGCCTACGCATATTATTTTCTGATGTTATCAAGTGTAATCCATTGTTACTTATGGGTTTCTATTAGTACCCAATGTTATTTATTCTTTCTTAAGGTTCCTGCAAATACTAATACTGAGATATTGTTTATAAGTTTCTGTCAGTAACAACTATAACGTTAACTTTGCGGCTTTTTTTTTCTTGTTGTTAAGAAAATCACAGACTACATCTTCAAGTTTCACTTTTCGCAAAAACCTCATTCTCAGTTGAGAGTAGTGCAAGTGAAGATAGTCGTTTCTGTCCCATGGTCGACCGAAGACAGTTCTTTATACGTTTCAACTATGAAAACGAACGCTCCCCTTGTCACCAACTTGTCCGCTATTTGTGTACTGATCATTTCTGCCACAGATTTCTTGTCTACATATATATGTGAGGACAACAGAAATTCATCTGTGAATGCATTTTTGAGGTCTGATGGACAGGTGTTTATTAATGCCCTTGCTCTAGAGATCACTGAACATGGAACTATCTACAAGAAAATTGAACCTTTCATTTAGTGTGGCTATGCTGCTCACCATCTGCCCATCTTAACAATAAGTTTATCCGTGATAAGATAGAAGGACTGTGGGCAGAATGTGTCACTTGTACTCAAATCCGAGTCAGTTTTATTCATGCCAACTTCATCAAAAAATCGGTTTCTCAGTCGTTTGCACTGTGTAGTCTCCTTGCAGTAGGATGGTGTAAGTTATTTTGCCATGCCCTCAAACACGTGAAAGTTATCTCTGATGTCACAAAAGTATGCTAAAAGACCATCATACAAGTTCGTGATAGTGCAAAACTCGATGCCAGTATCCAATAGAGCTTTATTCACAAGATTAGTCTTTTGGAGTATGTCATTCCAAATGACACACATCAACGCTGTCTCTAACTGATCAAGCTTTTTAGTAAGTGACTTTGCCTCATGGACAGATGTCGGTGGTTGTCAATCACTTTCAGCTATGTCAATCAAAGTTTGACGAATTTCAGATTAGTTTATATAAAGGGCTCTGGTGGCATTGCTTCATGCTGACCATATTGTTTCTGATACACTTTGTACAACATAGGTATTTTTTTCATGTTCTCTACCAAGTTAGACCATCTATGGGGTGAAGCTGAGAAAAACGTATAGAGTGACTGCAAAATTTCAAGAAAAATTACTGCTGCAGGGCAACACTCTACATACAGCAGCTGATCCAACCAAATTCAGACTATGGGCAGCACATGAAACTCATTCAGCCAGACTGTTAACTTCATGAAGCCTAGCTTGAACCCCTGAATAAATGGCACTCATATTGCTGGAGTTAACATATGACTGTGACCTGCAGCTTAAAATATCAATGCCATAAAATTTGAGAGTATCCAACAAAAGATCGAATATATATATTTTCCATCATATTGTTCGATGGGAATGAACTGAAGAAATCGCTAAACTACATTTCCATCACTGAATATATAACGAATCACCACTGTAAGCTGATCAGTGTGACTAATATCAGAAGTTGAATTGATATTGATTCCATAATACTTTGCATTCTTGATTTCAGATATTATCTCTGTCATAACTTTGGATCCCAATATGTCAATAAATTCATTGCATATAGTTGAGTAAATATAAGACACATTCGTTTTTCCTGGATTTCCATGTCTTTGAATGTGCTCTGTGAGAAATGGATCAAATTCAACCAAAAGTTCAATGCATCCAAGGTAGATTCTATTGTTAAAGCAACCGTGCACTGCAGTGTCACCATGGAAGGCTAGTCCTCATTCAGCAATGAATCTTATTACAGCAACTATTCTATTTAGGAATTCGATCCAGTATTACATTATCTTTCCTTCATCTTCTCCAGTTCTGCATCGATTCTTGTGGATTTTTGATGCTGGAGCATCATTGACAACACACCAAGATGATCCTTCAACTGCTCATGACAAGTAGACCTAGTGTCTGCATTTTTCCAGTCATCAAAACGTATTTTAAACTGATTAGGGCAGTCACTGGCACTGATACAGAATATCTTGCTCACGTAGCAATGCACTTTACCAGTTGAGGGAGAGTAAATAAGCCAATCTTTCCTGAAAAAATATTATTTGCATGCTTATCTTTCTTTTCACCAAACTGTCTACCCATTAATGAGAAATCTGAATCCAAATTATGTGAAGGGGGTATTTTATTTTCTGCATAATAATTTGTGACATCTGCAGTGATCTACCACTCAGCTGGATCACTACTGTAGTTTAATGTCGAGACAAAATCTGATGTTTTCTTTGGTGTCTCTCTTACTGTTATCATCACATCTCCTGCCGATACTGTCACTTCTGGAGCAGTCTGACTGACCCTTGCTTATTTCTCACTTGATCCATGTTTGACAGAACCCTTAGTTACATCTGTTTCAACATGTTCAGCAGATTTGTTTCCAGGTCTGATATTCATAAATTATAACTTTTCCCATGAAATTCAGCAGAGAACCTATTGTTTGTTTTAAAGCTTCTTCGCTTTTTTTCCTTTTTCTTTCGCTTTTCATATCCAGACTTATGCTTCCTCTTATACCCATCTGACATATTCAGTCCAGTTCAAAGGTACCCTGACAAAATTTATAAAAAAACTTGATTGAACCAGAAATAGAAGATGCCAAAATAATGAACAAAGTCGTAATGACTGCATTGTAACTACATTCGTTATTTTGTTCACGTTTATTTTACTATGTAAAAATATTCACAATGCAAAAAATAATTATTTAGTTATATAAAAAACAAAGTATCATAGACAAAATATCATAGTCATATATATATATATATATATATACATAAAGAGAGAGAGAGATCTATGATTATGGGACCTATGCAATGTATATATTTATATAGAGATCTATCTTGGGGGACTACGATTATGAGAGTGCCTAGGGCCTACAAAGACCTTAATTCGGCCTTGCTATAACCTGGTATTTTTAAAGCATATATTACACTTATTAATTGTCAGTCAAAATAATTAAAGTTCTAAGTGTATTATTTTAAATCTTTAAAAACAGAGTGAATACTGTTATGTCATTTCAAATTAAATCTAGAGATGTTGCACCCTTTTTTATGACATATAAATAACAGAAACACTATATGAACAAATAAAACATGGCACATCATGAAGCACACATCTAATTTTTTTCTTTTTTCAAATAGCTCAGCCCAGAAAACACCAGATTACTCAGCATGGGGTCTATGTCCTCCCACAGCTCAACCATGTTTACATTATTTAGAAACTAGCCCCGAACTGAATCGTAAAACAATCATCTGCAAGACTTCTGGTAGTGGACACTTTGGAACCAAGAAAACTCCACCTAGGAGAGTAGATGATGATGATGCTTTAAAACGAACTCGCCTGAACAACAGTCAGTAAGTACATAGACAAGAAAATATAAAAGTGATTAAAAGGTTCATGTCTTTAGTTAGTTAAATTATTTAAACAGTAATAAAATGTACTTGTTGATTACAGATTGCCAGAAAGAGTAGAAAACACAGTTTATCTCTTCAAGCTCATCCTTGTATCATAATAGTTAGACCTTTCTTGTAACCATTTCACTAATTGTATAGGTTAAAAGTTTCAAAGTTATATTATACCATCATACCTCCCATTAATACAATATAAACAATGAGGTGGCCATGTCTATTTTATCCTTCAAAATACGTGTGACACTTCCACCTCCAATATTAACCTATAAATAAGATTGACACAATTTTCACAACCTTTATTCATTCCTGTCAGTTCCTCTTTCTGAAGTTAACATTAATTTTTAAGAAATTAAATTTTGAAATCAATCAACAAGAAAGAGCTCTTTTGCAGTTCTCATTTGTATGTCTAATATACAATCCATACAATATTATAATTTGAAATGTCAAATACTTCTTTATCTAAACGTAAAAAGAGCATGTGATGTGTGAGATTTTTGTTTTCATATCTCTCACCACAACATGCAATATTTCTAATCACTATGATAAATTAAATCTCTTTTCCAGGTATGAACTGTCTCAGGACTTGCAGGATAAACAAGTAGAAATGCTAGAGAGGAAGTATGGTGGTGTGTGTGCTCGAAAAGCAGCCCTAACAATTCAGCGTGCATTCCGAAAACACTGCATGAGTAAACGGTTTCAGCAACTCACCCATCCAGGGAAGAAAGAATGTCGAACTTCTCGACGATTTACTAACACTAAATCAGAAGGAAAACATTGGTTGTCTACTAGTGACCACAGCAGTTGTTCTGAGGCGATGGACAATGGTGCCTTTTATGGGAAAGATAAAGATTTAGAGAATGATCTGTGTATGAGACACTCACTTGCTTATATTGATGCTGTGGTGAAGTCCAATCTCTCTACTTTGTGTCGCAATTTAGGTGAAAAATCACAAATCCAAAACTTTTATTCATCTAATCGCCACTTAAGACTATCTGATGCAAGTCCACATAGATATGTATTAGATTTTCCTTCATGCACCACAGTATCTACCAGCTCCACAAGTTTTCCTGAACACGTGGTTCCCTCTTGTGATATGTTTAACAATGTAGATGATTCTGTGTCAGAAGTTAATCATCTTCCTGCAACACTAGATGATAATAGTATATACCACACACCTCCAATGAATGTGCAACCTTCCTCTTGTATTCCTTATCACTCATACCGGACAGCAGTGCAAAAGAGTGGTGGGAAAAGATATATTCCATCAAAAAGTGGACCAATTTTGTTTCCCAATCCTAGTCAGTCAACACCATCCAGTAGGATTTCTGAACAGTTCTATACTCCTAGACAGTCACTTTCATCAGAGGAAAACACAATAAGCAGTGTAAGTTCTGAAGTTTTGTATTAATTACTGTAAGTGTTATTTTCTTTAATGTGGATTCCTGTTTCAGGTGAGGGTATTTCCCAAGAAAGGTTCTGCTTATGCATCATAACTCATGAATATCTTAAATGAAATGATCAGTTATATTCCACACCTTTTGTTCTGTTTTCACTGCAATGAAGATGGTGACAACTCTTCAGCACTGGAGTTTAACTCTTTTCCATTGCAACTTTGGGAATGTAGATAAATATCTCTTTGTCCTGATGACTGTCTTTCTACAACTATATCAAAGTTTTAATATCCTCTATGGAAAAAACCAGATAAATCCATATCAACCTCATTTTATGCTCCAATTAGTACCACCACTCAATAAATGGGAAAAGGCTTTTTGGATTTTGCATGCAAGACCATCATTTGTTCTTGCTTTTATCCACTGAAGTCTCCCACCTTTCTGGTAAGGACTTGCCCTTCTCATCTAGAGTGGAACCAATATAAGTTGATATACCTAATATGATGAAAAAAAATGATGCCAATAAAGAAAAACCTAATAAGTCTCTTCACCCACGTCTCAAATTTCTAGATGAAAATGGTTGCACTATAAATGTGGAACTTATGAGGTTTTCGCACTAATACTTATGATATCAAAGCCATGATTAATTCTTCCCTCCATGTGTATGTATCCCTTACAGGAGGTATTTCTGGAACCTGTTGATAGTTACCATTCAGCAGTTTCATTAATTAAAAAGGCCAGGTTGTGTGATGGATTGGTTTATGGAGGACTAGTATTGTTGATTAAACAGCACACTCCCTCTGCAACTGTGTAATCCATGTCTCTGTTGGCTGTATCAATACACTGTGTTCTCTTTCATCATGGAATGTTATTCTAATAAGTAAGCCTTGATAATATCAGTGCATTTGCTATTTCTCTCAATCTTACAGGGACAATTAAATGAGGGCTTTTCATGCTGAGGTGGTGAAAATATTGATGGGAAAAGTATATTTGTGGAATGTTTGATCTCAGATCATAGCTCCTCTCCTTTTAATTGTGGAAACATATTTATTTTCATGCTCTGAGTTAAGCATTTACTGCCATTGATCTGTCAGTTTGTTCACCTCATTTCTTCATTAATTTTCATGGAGAGTGGATAACAACCTATGTGGAAGTGATCTGTTTTCTATCATTCCAAGTATTTAGCCACAGTCACTGCCAACTCACTTGTGCCATATGGATGCCAGAGAAAGCCAACCATCCCTCTTTCACTACTCTATTAGAGCTTGTTACTTCCCTCAGTATCCTACAGTTTATTAATGACTGTGTGGAAGCACTGATGTATCACATTGTCCAGCTGCACTTACTATTTCTAAAAGTTTGACATATTTTCCATTATAGCTTCATTCTTGTTGTACCCAAGGGATGGGTCAGAAATTAGCCTGCAGTGTCTTCTGCAGATATCCTACTCTTCCACTCTTACCAGGCAACCTCACAGCATTTCACCGAGTTGAGTCTGGATCCATAAAATAAGACATCAGACCAAAGAACATTTCTGACAGGATCACTTCCACCATCAGTTCAAAATTCATCTGGGACAAGATTTGGAATGTGAATGGGAAACATACATACCTTCTGCTGTTGATCATGCAGCCCAATGGCCAAGCACTTCAATCTGTTCTCTGGGGTTTTTTGAATTTCAATATACAAACTGAAAGAATTCCTCTTTCTTTCTGGCCTCATTGCTTCCTAGAGTACAATAGACCATTCACTTTGGTGAAACTTAGGATGGCTCTATATTAATCTGGCAAAATGTCTGTTGGACGGGATGATACCCATTTCGATGTATCTTCTCTCTTTAAGTCATATTTCATTTTTAACTGTGTCTGGCAGGAAGAGATATTTTCTTATTTATGGCACTATTCTTTTAAATTGCAAGAAGGACCCCAAGAATCTTCCTAATTATAGACCAACTCCTTCGACTAGCTTTCTGTATAAAGTTTTGGAGAAGATAGTTAGCCTTTTCTGGGTAATGTATATAAGCAAATTACATAAAACATGATAAACTTTTAATATGGCTTATATTCTGTGTAGAAAATATTTGTAAAATTTAAAGTACTTGTAAAAAAATGTTTTGAAAAGCAATAAAATAATTCCTTTAATCCTACACCTTCTTCATTATTTATCAGTAAGTTTCGTTTTATATATATCCAGTCAATTTAATTTGTTTTATTTTCTTTTGATACTATATTTTACAAAAGGAAGCACTTATCTTCCCACTTTAAATGATATAAATATAATGTGACTGTCAAAGATTACCCAAGAAGAATGAGCTCATCCTTCAATATGACAACAGACTTTCCTTTCTCAGATATGATAGTGTCTTATTTTTAGGTTGAATTTAAATTATGTATTAAATATAGTTTGTTTTCAATAACCAGACAGTTCTTGTATTTGGGTATTGTTAACAATATATTTGAGAAAAAGAGAATTTGTTCCATCCCAATAGTTTACCATAGCTTACTGTACTTGTTAAACTTCAATATCCTCACCTGTCGCTTTGTTAAAGATGAATATTCCTGTGTCTTTCAAATGCACACAATATAATACCAAGATATTATCAGGAACAAGAAGATAATCATCTTAAAACTATAAAAATCCTACTGGTAAGTATATAAAAATCTTGTCTTCAGGTTCCTTGACTGCACCCATCTTACAGTTTTCCAACACAGAAATAACATACATACAGAACTATTGGAATTTACATTACATAGCATTAAAATTTATCAACTCCTTTTTCTGATGACTGTTGGCTTTAAATTCTACTGCTTTTTAAGTCTGAGAACCAATCAAAGTTTTCATAACTCCTCTATGGTGGTCCAACATAGAAACATAAAATAAATAACAAACCAACCAATTGAAATCTTTTTTAGAAAATGAGTAGATCCTAAGAAGTTACCAAAACATTAAAATATATAGAAGCATACTACATATAGTCCATACACCTAGAGACATGACATAAATGAGAGTTTGAATATTTTAAAACATTTCATGACTAGATATACATTATTGAAAAAGATCAATTTTGCTATATTTTTTGAGTAAAGAATTGTTCAAATAGAATCATAATTTGTATTAATTTATGAAAGATGATTTACAAGTACATACATGGAGTGACCTGAACATGTACTGGTTGAAAAAGGATCAGTCTTTGTCCAATTTTATACTTGAACCAAATAACTATCTTGCCAACATCCAGTGTGGTTTCTGAAAGCAAAGAAGTCCACCAAGAACCACCTCATATGGCTTGAAATGTTATTCAGGAAATTCTTTCTCAAGAGTAATTAATTGTCTAGTTTCTACATTTCTTAATCTTGAGAAGACTTATGAAACCACGTGGTAATTCAGTATTTTATGACAGCTCCATTATTATTGATTAAATGACCATTTGTCCATTTTTATTCTTTACTTAATTCTTAGCAGACAGATCTTCAGGTTTCAGTTTTGAGTGTCACATGTTTTAGCATTAAAATCAATGCCATTATTAAACAATTTCTTCCAACATGGCAAACAACTTTTATGTTTAAGATGTTCAGATTTCCTGTTGGTCACTTAACATAAGGTATATTGAGTGGCAATTCCAAACTGCCCTCAACAAACCACTGCAAAAGGTTTTAATATTATATAACATAAAACAGTTTATGTGCATTTTTGTTGCCAACGAAGATAGTAACCTGTTTCTGATCTTCTAGAGGATGTCTGAGACTATGTTCTTACTTAGGACTTCTCTTTGACAACAAGCTTACGTTTATTTCACTCTTAAATTCAAGTGTATAATGGTACTAAAAATCTTCTATCTTCTTTCTTTTATCTATAGGGGAGTGGAGAATTGTTTCATATTTCAGACGTATTGTACCCTCATTCAATCCAATCTGGAATCTAAAGGCTTTCTGCACTTCTCTAGAGTTTTTACACATTTCCTATGGATCTCCACTTCACATTTGACATATGCAACTTACTTTTCAGTATGCTGCAAAATTATGATTTCTACCACAGCATCTCATGTGGCAATGTATTTTCTTGCTTCAGTGATCCATGATACTTGGAAATAGATAGCCCACTATTCCTAATTCTGATCTCCATATTCAAGCACAGTTGTATTAGATGGTCCATAACCTGATGATCAACCTATCTCTCCATAGCTTCTTACCATACCCCACTTGGAACTTTTGCTGAATCACTTGGAGAAGTGAAGTATTCCAAACTGGATGTAATCTGTGTTTACCAAACAAGTCAGTGTTCTATACAAGACTTTACTGATGGCTCAAAATTGGGTAGCTATGTTTTTTTTTGTCACAGTTTGTTGCAATTCTGTCTTTTCTCACATAATCCTATTTCTGTTTTCTGTATTCATGAGAGAGTTGTATCACAAAAAAGCTAAAGAATACTATTATTATGTTATCTATACAGACTCAGCTAGGTTCTTGTAGGCCATGGAATCATTCAGTTTTAGCTGTCATTCTCCTCCCAGTCATTTCAAGACAACTAGCCAATTTGTTGGCCCTTTGAAGCCTCTGTTCATTCCAAAACTAATATGAAGCTTGTCATTAGGGTGTGTCTTCATGCCAGGTTGTAGATACTTTTAGAGAAGCTTTTACAGATCAATCATAGAGGTCATAGACAGGAAGTTGTTTTAACAAGGTTCCAAGCTAGCCAAAGTTTTATTAGACATCAATTTTCTCTTGCATGAGAGTGACCTGCCAATGTATAAGAAATATGACATTCAAATCATAATTTCTTATATTATATTTTCACACCATCACATTGTCATTAAGCAGTAACATCTTTTTAGATACATTTTCATACATGGTGCCCCTTTGACACTGGGCAATGCCATTGAAATATGATACTATCCAGTTTGACAATGGTTTTACTTATTTCTATGTCAAAGAGGGGGGCAAGCTCATTGATAACACTGTGATCAGACTTGTAAGCCTCTGTCTATTCTGTATTTTCATAGGAAGGCTGCCTTCTTTTGAACATCTAGTTTGAGCAATGTGACACTCAAATCACTAATGCCCACAATGTACTTTCATGTCACTGTTATAAAATTCAGCAGAAGCACTTTACTAGACATGATTTAACTTATGGTGTCCTTGTGACATTGGGCAATGTCATTGGAAATGATCACTCAGTCCAAGCTTGATCACATTTTGTTTTTAACGGGTAGTTAATACTTTGATACTTTTATACTTTAGTTTGATACTTTTTAATCGTGTTATTTTATTTCATGCACTTATCTTTTATTTCTAATTATCATTTTATTTGTTTGAAATAATTATCCATCACAGATATCCATTACTGCCTTATGCCAAAAATAAATCAAAACGACATATCTGCCTGTTTCTTTTAAAGCAAAGCTACATTATAGGCTATCTGCACTCTGTTCACCACAAGGAATTGAAACCCAGATTTTAGCATTTTAAGTTTATAAACTTACTGTTGACCCATGGGAAACAAAATGACAAGAAAAACTTTCATGTTGTCACAATGACAATCTGCAGTAGCTCCTTTTCAAACATTTTTTTTAACTCATTGTATACCCTTGATAATCAGGGCAGTGCATGTCACTGGAAATTATGATACTGCCCAAATTACCAGCAATTTTTATTTTGGAGCCATGGACCTCTTTAATTCTATTTAATATTTTGATGAAAACATTTTTTTTTCTAGCTTTATTCAATTATTTTGAGATGAAAAAGTTTTGTCCTTTTTTTTTTAATTGATTAATTTATACACTTAATTATAATGTTTTTTAATATTATTGCTTATTATGTATAGCACCTGGTGGCTCAACAGTTAGTATGTGGGCTTACAATACTAAAACTCTGGATTTGCAGTAAGAATAGCCAGATAGCCCATTTTTGTAGCCTTGCACTTAACAACAAACAAAACATTAATACAGAAAATATATGCTTGCCCTTTCAGCCATGGGGACATTATAACGTGATGGTCAATCCCACTATTCATTGGTAAAAAAGTAACCCAAGAGTTGGTGGTGGGTGGTGATGACTAGCTGCCTTCCCTCTAGTCTTACATTGTTAAATTAGTGAAGGCTAGCACAGACAGCCCTCGTGTAGTTTTGTGTGAAATTCAAAACAAACAAAACTCTGGATTTGATACTTGCAGTAAGCATAGCCAGATAGCCCATTTTTGTAGCCTTGCACTTAACAACAAACAAAACATTACTACAGAAAAGACATTTGTTGGCACAATCAGCCTTGCTGCTTTGCACCATTAAACCCTAATAGTGTTGGTAATACTGTGTTATGTTTTATTATTTTTCCATTTATCTCAAGAAAATACATATGCAGATTAATCAAATCATATGCCATTCTAAGCACCCATATATGCAGAACATTTTCCTAAAGGATACATTGTATCTCCACTCTCATTATTTTATTCTATTGTTTTATTTGTTTGTGCTGCACATATGAGGCTGTTTTGGGTCTAGTTATGTGAAATTATATACACATGTAGCATACTCATGTGAATTAAAGTCAACAGACAAGCATTAAAAATGCAAAACAGGAGTTTCTTAGGAAGTTTGTGCAGAATTTGATTAGTCAAACCCAACCAAAATTAGAGAGACTGATATATTAGCTCCATGTCAAAACAAAGGAATCAAATTACTTTAATCACAAACAGCAGCATTTGTTCTGAGTGAATCCTTAAAAATGGCTGGCTTCTCTGATTTTCAACAGCCATTGGCAAAACATGAATGCAAAAGACACTATATTTGTCTGAAGTGGACTAAGACAGCAATAGTTCATAACAAGTACTATAGTTTTGCTTGATCCATGTTTATGTCAAGTATTTCAGTGCTTCTAAGAAGGCCATGTCATCCTTGTCAGGAGATTAGTGACATTATTAAAGAAAATCAGTAAATGGTATATGCTCAACCCATCAGACTTTCTGAAGAAATAATTATAATGATGCAACTAGTGTACTGGCCACATTGAGAAGTAGATTCAACTGCAGTCCCAACATGTGTGGCAACCTAAGCAATAAGTATTGTTCAAACTGGATAAATCATGTTCACTTAGATAATTTAACTCAGCATGGAAAAACTATGCTAAAGTTTTGAAAAATTCACCCGAATATACACAAATAATGGTACATTAGATTTCAATATATTATTACAGCCATAATATACGTATATTACTTTTGAATAAGAATTTGAAAAAATGCATAAAGTTTCATCAAAAACAAAGAAATGTGATTTTTTTATCTCTCACGTCAACAAATAAAATTATTTGAATTTGTAATCATATAATAAGGGTATTGGTTGTAAATGGAAGTGTTATTTTATCTGTTCAGTCCATTTTAGCTCTTATTGTAACATGGAGAAGTAAATTTATGAGGATAAACTTAAAAATGTAGAGACTAGACTTAAGTTTGTGATGGTCTCTTTTGACATCTGAGGTTGTGGTACATATTTAGTTAATTGTTGACCAATAACTGTATGAGTTGCAAACATTGTCATAATTAAATTTGAGAAATTGATTTACTAAACTAAGCAAGGCTTAGTTTTATATAGAGATCTTAGTGACCAGCATATTCCATATCAGTATCGTGATGATCCAAAATTAGTTAATTCATAAACACATTTTGTAATGTGAAGATCATGTGATCAATATTAGTAAGGTAATTCCTTCTATTTGTGCTGTATCTTATGCTGCTGATTACCTCAAATGCCCCCCCCCCCCCAGTGGCACAGAGGTATGTCTGCAGACTTACAACACTATACAGATAGCCCATTGTGTAGCTTTGTGCTTAATTTCAAACAAACAATACCACAAATGATGCTTCTACTAAGTTGTAAGTTAACTGTTTGGAATTAAGAAACATAAAAGTTTCTCAACTATGTCTGACATTACTTTGTATTGTTAATTTTCCCTGACAAGCTGCATTTTTTTTTTCTTGAAGAGTAATACTGGAGACCCGAGCATTGATTCACTAAGTGAAGATAGTCAACAACTAAACAAAGCTTCTTCAGCCAGACGTTCTGTTAATGTCTCTATGGGATACACTTTTCAATTGACTGAAAACCAGCCTCACAGAACACCTGGCAGAACTTGTGATTATGTCATTGAAAGGAAATGTGGCCAACCGTATGTGGACCATAGAAGGGTTTCATCTCAGGAAAGTAGAAAACCCACTATTGTTCCAAACCATGAGATGAAATATCTAAGTAAATCTACTAAGTGGCCAAACCAAACACTAGGGCAAAAGTCAAGAGAATCAAACTACAGTTATGAACCACATTCAGTCCACAACAAAGCTGTAGGAGTAGATGATAAGAGCAGACAGACTGCCAGAAAATGCAGTATAGAATACTCACCCACTTGGAATAGAAAAACTCTCACAATGGCTGAACAAGTGCTTCTTGAGGGCCAAGTGGATGATAGAAGGTTGGGTAATATCTCAGAAAATAGTGAAGATAGCCTAGAGAGTGCAAGTTATTCAACCTCTCCACCAGTTTCATCTTCAGATGCCTTTTCAGCAAATAATTACCCAGAGTGGGCTACTGCACAAGAAACAGTTTCAACATCATTACTCTATAAGGTATGAAGCCCTTTTCAAATTTATCAGTTAAAAATTTTTGCATTCTGATTATCTTACCAGCAAATAACTTCTGATTTGAACTTATTTAATAAGATTTAATATTTGTTACTTTGTAATTTTCTTAGCCTACTTTCCTAGTACATTGAAAAAAAGTTAAGGTAAGTAAAGACAATAATCCTCTTCCATACATACCAAATCTGTTCTTTTGACATACTTTAGATTGTTTTTTCAACTTCCTATTATGTCAGTTTACTTTGCCGAATAAATTAGAATTTTGACAGGAATAGACTGGAATGATATATTTAATCTTTCTCTAAATTTTATTTTATATGCCATAGAAGAAGGACATCTTCAAAAACTTGATGCTTTTTTAAAGTTAAAATTTATATATTTTTTTGCTTACAGTCGCAAGTTTCTGAACTCCAAAGAAAACGTCAGTATCGGGTGGGTCTGAATCTGTTCAACAAAAAACCAGAAAGAGGAATTAATTATCTGATCCACAGCAATTTCTTGGAATCAACACCTAAAGCTGTAGCACGATTCCTTATCTCAAGAAAAGGGCTGAGCAAGCAGAATATTGGAGAATACCTTGGAAACCTTCAAAATAATTTCAATTCAACAGTACTAGAGTAAGTAAAATATTGTTCACACTAAACAGAACAAATCTAAATGCTTTTAATAGATTTGTAGTTTGAAAGCATAATATAATTTTACATCTGGACCCACAACCCTAAAGAAAAGAAAAGTAAAAATAAAAATTTTAAACCAGCCTTTTATTTTTCATCATTTCATTGAATCTTCTCTTGAATTTCCGCAAGCTGCCAAGCTCCATTACTACCCATATATATATATCCTCTTGTCTCATTGTCTTCAGCATAGAGCACAAAGAAATCAGAGACTTTTATCAATTCTATAGATAATCTTGTAGCTTTCAGTAAAATCACTTTTTACCCTTCTTTTTTTCAAAAGAAAATAAGATTTTAATTTACTCCTATAAGATAACCCAGAACCATCCTATACTGTTCCTCTTATCTTTTTCCAATAAGTCAGAATTTTGTGGGAGGTAAGCTTGTTATTCATTTGGAGCAAAACTCAAAAACTAAAGAACATAAAAGAGAATCTGACATATTTAATAAACACACAAAAAGATATCCGCCACATGATATTCTGCCAATAAGACAATGGAAACACTTCATAAGCAGTTCATGTAATAAGTCAAAATTTGCTCAAATATGTTAGATCATAATGAGGGACAGATGAAACAAACAGGTAAACTATTTGATACGACACAAAGGATACAAGGAACTTATTGAACTCAGTTGTGAAAAGCATGTGGAAGTAGATACCTACATACATGCAACATTTTATTCATGTAGAGAAGATGGGATTTGAAAGATTTGTTATTCATGCCACAAATCTGGATGTGATTATGCCTTGTATCTACTATTTTCCAAGGATACAAGATCTGAACTACTTATGGATCCAGAAGTTTGAGAAACTTGTTTCAATTTATGTAATAGTCAAGGGATTATCAGAAAAGTGTGAACACAGTACTGCAGAAGTTTCAAGAGTTTTACTTGGTGTATGCATTCTAGTAGAATGTGACACAGTTGGCTATCCATCCAGAGAAGAATAAAAAAAATATGCTTTAAAGAAAAGTAGCAACAGAGAACATTACATAATTTTTAAAAACTGGATCATTTGTGGACTCAAGGCAGAAGATAGAGCAAACAGAGTAAATAATATGCAAGTGTAGGATGTTTTACTCCACTCTATATGGAAGGGATAATTTCCAAGCATCTTTAGATCATTTTTCTGCCAATTTATTTGCAACAAATCAAAGGGAAGTAAGGTGTCTCCTCCTCAACAAAAGATGCTTTTGAGCAGGCTTAATAGCCTTGAATCAGATCTATGTCTGCAAGCAATTGGTAGAACTTAACCCAAAAGAATTTGGAAGACAAAGAACAAGTGGGAAGCTTATTCCTATTTTGATAAAAAAAAATGCCATCTAGACAAGAATATGCAAAAAAAGAAATGTTCTGCCATTGTAGATCTGTGAGGTGTACGAGTGTCATTGGGCAACTACCCACAGGCCCCACGCCCTGAATATATCTCATGGTGCTTCAAGTATATTTCAAAATCTATCAGGAATATTATATTCCCCTTTTGTAAAGTTGCATTTCCTAATGAAATGTTTTTTTTATTTAATCCATGCAATATTTTCACTTTCATTAGTCATAAAAACCTTGTCATCATGAACCTTTATGGATCCAATCCCAATTTTGATATACTTAAAAATATCCTTTCAGTTTTACCATTATAAGCCAACTGTTTCTCAGGAACCCCTTTTTGATGTCATAACTTATTTTTTACTAAATCCTTAATTTCCTATACTTCTGTAAGACTTCAATCATATCTGTCATTTTAAACTTCTCGAGCATATGGTATTTACCAGTGATTTTTGTCCTTCTTAGTACAACCCTGATTTTATTAAAAAGTTTCTCATTAACATCTGTATGGTCAGATGACCTATAACATTTGCCAATTAACCCTTTTTTTCCCTACCTTTGAATTCCTGATTATAACCCAAGAACATTCAACCTTTTTACTACATTTTTTTGTTTTTAGCCACAACAAGCTGTTGTTGCTCATCTATTAAATAAAGAGCTGACCCATTCCCTCTTTCAAAAAATCTATAACTATTAAATAACTCATAACATGGAATTTTGAAAATAATTGTGATTGTTAGTGTTCTCCAAATCTGGTCAAATTTCAGTAATTCCCATTATATCATAGTCCTCCATTTGAACTGGATCCTGAACCCAAACATTGTGTTCCTAATTCTCTTACCATCAGAATATTCTTGAATATGATATTTTTAGGAAAATCAATTTCCCAAAACAGTAAATTAGGTAGATCCACTATATAATGGGAGTTTGGGTAAGATATATTGCAAAGTAATACTGATTTCCACCAAAATTAACTGAGTCTGTACTAAGAAATAAATGAACTGTACACAATGAAAAAAATCTTTATCTAACAAAACACAAATCAAAAAGGTTATCTCTATGGAATGAGAAAGAACAAAGGTAGTTAGTACAAATTCAACTTAACAACTTACTTGACTACAGGTTATTCAAAACTGTATATATCTGAATAAATGTAATTTTTTGAAAAATTTTACATTAAAATAAGAAGACAGAAAATGCATGGTATGTCAACATACCACAAATCTATTATGCTGTTCTTTAAATATGATTGAATATCTTTAACTTTTTATGCTGTAGGTACTATTTTTTTCAAATAACTTTTTCTAGCTATTCTATAATTCTTTTTATTCCAGTTCTCCAAACTTACTCACTACAATATAACTATAGAATTTCCCAGAACATGAAGCTTCCTAGCCCAACTCTAGCATACATTTCACCCTTACCCTGAAAACTATACTGCATGTCCAAACAGCCCAAGCCTGTTGCTAGGTCTGGAAGGGGGGGGGGTTTGATCCAAAGTGTAACTTGTTTCATGTGCAACTTTAGTGCCCAGAGATGAAAAAAAAAATCCAAAATATGTAATGGTTCCTTTATTATCACTGCAAATAAACATTTCTAGTAAATTTCCTCTGATAAGTATAAAAATGCTATTCCTGCATGTATGCTCAGTGTTACAAAAGCAATTAGGTACCAGCTCCTAAACTGTTAATAACTATAGTTTAGCACCTGGTCGAAATATTCTTGTCCTGGACTTTTTATGCTTCCCACAACAAACAACTTTATCAGTGTATTTAGTGAGAAGGTCTTCCACTATATAAACCTCTTGATCATCTATTTTCTTCCTCATGTTCTGCAGGAACCCAGAAGTTAAAATCTAATATACACTAGAACCTCAATATTAACTAAACCTGCTTCTAACTTTGTTACTACTGCACACTTTTTTAAAACCAACACTCTCATTCTCACCCTTCCCAAAGCAACCTTTACCCTAACTCTAAGCTTACTATTCCATTTTCGAGATTAATGAATCTATTTATGCAACTCTGAAAGTATTTTATGACTTAGCTTTTAAATACCACAAAACTGTAACATTTCAGAGTTTGATAACCAAATTAAGTTGCATCTGATCATTTGATGAAGGTAACATCATCACCTTGCATCTTATTTTTGTATTTTTTTATTCAGTCTAATTATTTGTTTTAAAATGCATTACTAAGTTTGTTTAAAAAGAATTATTGGTTTTTTATATTAATTTTAAATAGTCTCTATTTCTCACGAAATAACATTCTTTGTTCCTGATATTTAGATGTTTTGTTGAAGAGGTTGATCTCGCTGGGATGCAAGTTGATGTCGCTCTCAGGAAGTACCAAACTTTCTTCAGAATGCCAGTAAGTTTCTTTTCCATTAAAACTTTAAAAACTTAGTGTTTTCTTTCATGTCTTCTAAAAGTATTTATAAAAATATATATTTTTTTTTATAAATCTACATCAGAAGCATGTGTTTTCTTTTTTATAATTATATATTGTTATTACTTACCTCTCCCCCTCCCACAGGTATTTAATTATACCATAATGAAAATGCATGGTTAACTTATTAAAGTTTGTTATCAGGTAAATATTAAAAAACTGAAAGATCGTTTCATTAAATAATTCATTTGTCTTTTCTCAGTACCCCATTCTCACCACCCTGTTGGTGTTTTATTGTGCACCAGTTTCATTGTCATAATATTAAAATAAAGATTATAAGAAAGTAACATCTCATTGATTCAGAGGTTAACTAGTTAAGCAGAATTTGTAATAATGATTTTGGGCCACTTTAATGATTTCTAAAACACTTATCTTATATTGACTGTGCTATAAGAGGCGGAACCAGAGGGGGCATGTTCCCACAAATTCTAGCTCAGTAGGAAAGTTTCTCTTTGAATGGGAAATGAAGACTTGTGTATAACTATCATGGAAAATTGTTGTTTCAGTTTTGAATTCAATTGTGATGGTTAACATAGCAAATAAGCCAAATACAGATATGTTCCTCTGTGTATGAATTGTGCTGTTGTGATTTTGATTCCCATGTTAGAATGCAGAATGACTTGTATTGCTAATATGCAAAGTGGTACCATAATCATAATGATATGAGTTACTTGCAGCTTCAATTAATGGGGGTTAGTGAAAGGCATCCTCCCATGGGACAGCAGTATGTTTACGGACTTACAATGATTCCCCATGGTGGACACAGAAGATATCCCAATATTCATAAAATGTTAATGGGACAAAAAAAAAGAGCTTATTAACTCATCAAGAATGTCTCTTCCAGCTTCCAACTATAAACACCCATGTATTCATCCAATCTTTTCTTAAACTCAGTTAAATTTTCTGCCTCAATCACCCTTGAAGGCAGCTCATTCCAAAAACCAACCACCCAGTTTGAAAAGTAATACTGACTAAACTGTAGACAACTCCTACACTGCCAAAATTTGAATTTATGACCTCTTGTCCTATTGTTTTCACTGCTAAACACAAAAATATTTGATAGATTTGTATTATTAATACCCTTAATAATCTTAAACACCTCAATCAAATCCCCTCTGACTATTCTCCAGAGAAAACAAGTTTAGAGATTTTAGTCACTCTTCATAGGACAATCCCACCATCCCAGGTATCATCCTAGTGGTTCTTATCTGAACCTTCTCCAGCAATTCAATGTTCTTCTTAAGTAAGGAAGCTCAAAACTGTATACAGTACTCTAAATAAGGCCTTACAAGTGATCTATACAATGAAACAATAATATACCCTGTCTTGTATTCAATATTTCTATAGATGCAACCCAAAATCCTATTAGCTCTATTGCTACAATACATTGTTTAGATGACTTAAGTGATTTTTTTATCACAACAGCAAGATCTTTTTCTTCAACCACAGTATTTAATGTATTTCCATTTAAATTGTGAAAACCTACATGCATCACCTTACATTTTGGATAGTTAAACATCATATGCCACGTATTGGCCCAATGCATCAAATGATCTAAATCTCCCTGTAAGTCTGCAGCATCTTTGATACAAAAATCTTAATGTCATCTGCAAACTTAATATAAATCACAAACAGCAGAAGACCCAGCACAGAGCCCTGAGGCACACTGCTTGTAACTGTAATCCAGTCAGATCTAACTCCATTTATTACTACTCTGCTTTCTACTCTTCAGCCAATTTTCTATCCAATTTAATAACATTTCCCCCACACCCACAGATTTAATTTTTGTAACAAGTCTTTATTGAAGCACCTTATCAAATGCTTTCTGAAAATCAAGATAAACCAAATACATGGTATTTCCTTGATCAGCTCTTACAGTAACATCCTCAAAGAATGTCAGAAGACACTATATCAAACTTCTTTAAGTGACTCTGCAATGCATCTTTAATCACACTCTTCAAAACCTTTCTTGTAGCCTCCAAAACCTAATCTGTAGCCTGTATTTCAAAAACATTCCTCTCAACAAAACTGCTCAAATCCAACCCATAATATCAAAATCCTGTTTCCATAATTGTTTTGAATTCATCAATTATATTTTTAATACTCCTGGAATTACAATTTTAACAATTAATCATAAATTTTAAAATACGTTTATGTTTTATGCCTGTTGTACATGTTTTTCTGTCAATTATATTTCCTACTTTACTAATATCATAGTCCTAATCTCTGTCTAACCCTAGTTTAAATCTACCACTACAGCGAGTTAATAACCCTTGTTAACACGCTAGCCCCTGTCTTATTTAATTGTAAGCCATCCATTCTAAAAAGATTAACTTTTCCATTAAAATTATCCCACAAATCCAACCAGCCTATTTGCTCATCCCTACAATTTATTCTTGGCAATATCCCTGACAAAATTAAGCTATGACCCCTTTCCTTAAATACCCTTATGAATGTTTTATAATTATCAATAAGCTCCTTAGATACATCTTTACTTACATCATTAGCCCTAACATGTACCACAAAAACTGCATTGCTTCTAGCACCCTTAACTATCTCTCTGGTTCTATCAGTTATATCCTGTATCCCTACTCATGAATAGCATAAGCATATTCTTTTGCTCCCATTTACTCCACATACAACTCTATCTACATGCCTAACTAGAGAGTCACCTACAACTTTAACTTCCCTATCCTTTACACTATCATCCCTTGTAATCCCATCTGTTTCCCTTACCTGCTCCCCCTCATCACTAGCAAATGCTTGGAACCAGTTGCTCAACTTAAACCCAAGCCCATCCTTGCCCCTAAATGCATTATTTATGGCTTTACTCAAAAGCAAACAGATGTTGATGAGTAAATTAGTTACTTTCTGAATGGTAGGTAATAAGCTAGGTTTTGATTTTCTTTCATTTAGTTTGGCAGGTAATTGATTCATGTTTCTTTTAAACAATTGTGCCCTCCCAGTTTTATTTTTAACTGGTATTTACAGCATAAATATTATACAAAACTATTTCTGCAATATATGTAATTAGCAAATGCCTGCACTTAACCTACTGATTTAGAGGTAAACAGTGTTATTTTTGTTTACTATAGGGTGAGGCCCAGAAAATTGAGAAGCTAGTAGAAGTCTTCAGTAATAGGTACATAGCATGTAATCGAGATGTAGTATCAAAATTTCAGAACCCAGACACAATCTTTATTCTTGCTTTTGCTATCATCATGTTGAACACTGATCTTCATACACCAAACCTGAAAGCTGATAAACGTATGAAACTTGAAGATTTCATAAAAAACCTGAGAGGTAAGGTTTATTGTTATTTGTTTTTTCATGAATTATCTTGTTGTCAGGGCTGTCTAGATATTATGAGAATAAATCATTGCTTATTTTCATGTACCAAGGACACACTATATTTTAGCTGAAATCAGATATTGTTTTATTCATATGCATAGTTACTCGGTTTATTCATATGTGGTCTTATGAACCAACTATGAATTTCTTTAATGCCTCTATCCTAAATTTGTATCACTTTGTAATTAACTAAAACAAAACATCGCTACAAACAGGATCAAACAAAAACAATTCATTAAAATATTACAAAATTATACTTTCAAACAACAACAAATTCTATCACTTACAAAAACAGTTATTAAATCTGTTCATTGACAGGATTTGATACAAACATTAATAAACAATACAACTTAAATCTCACTGTTATTAATTTCAATAAATAAAGGAATTAGAAAAAAAAACAGAAGAAGAAATAATCTAATTCCAAAAAACTACAATATTCCAAAATTAAACCACTTCTCTAGATCAATAACAATATCGAGCAACAATTAGCAATAATCCATTCTAACTATATCTCGTGAACTAATTTGTCTAAGATCAAGAAATGGTTTTTATTTAGTAGCTAGACCATGAGGTTACATCTCATGTGATTAGCTATTACCATAAGTTACATAATCTTTCACAACATGAATATCTGTGCAGCACTACTAGGGGGAAGCTTGTGTCAGTTTCATAATACAAACATACTCAGTCTATGTGCTATACCTAGAAGTTGAGTTAGCACTTTAATATAACTAACAAGAGAGAATCTTCAATAGCTGCAGCACTTGAAATTCTTTTAGGCAGGATTAGAGTAAATTAATCTATGAGACCTTTGTTTCCCTTTTTATTAGCTATATTTTTGTGCAACAGCAATACCAAATGTGGGGCGCGTGTATACCCAATTCAATTTTATTACTCATCAAGATCTCCACCAGTCTACCCTCAAATTGAAATTCTTTTAGGCAGAATTACAATAAATTAATCTATGAGACCTTGGGCATGATCAAATAGACCAATCAAAATGGTTTGATCTTCTGAGTCCAAAACTGTAATTAGACCTCAAATCAGTCAAGAGATGTCAGAGCTATGAGCTAAAAGTTTGTACTTGAAAAAAAACAAAAAACTCTGAGCCATTATATGAAACTCTATGCTAAGGTAAAACATTTATGGTTGAACTAAATGACAGAAGGAATAATAAGTGAATGGTAAACAAAACCATAACAAAATAAAAGTAGAATTTGCTATCTCACAACTAGTCAGATTAACCCTTTATCATCTCCACCTATATATTTACGCCTGCTAGACATAATCTCTACTCATGTATGTATATATGCCAAATATCTCACACACTATTTAAGTGACTCATGCCAGGTTTCTTGTTGGCAAAGCATCGCTACGGTAATGGAAAAACCCTTCCATGGATAATAATTGGTTAACTAACAATGAAAATTTTTTTTAATTTTGCTGATAAATCTCAGACTAAAGAATGAGCCTCTTGTATAGCATTATTTTTAGGTGATCAAGATATAAAATATCAATATGACCCTATATCATAACATATGGATAACAAGGAACCACTTGGTCTTTCAAGGTTGTCTTTGTGCACTCTTCCTTAATTGAGAGAAAGTACAAATTTAAACACACCCTGTATTTTTCAGGAAATCACCAATTACCCTCTTAACTCCTATAAAATTTACTCTGCCCACACTGACAACTCATTCCATAAGTCAATCAACCTGTTAGAGAAATAAAGGTGTTTTAAATAGAGCTATGTTTATGTTTATCAAATCTTATATTTATGGCCTCTTATTCTATTATCTTCAGAATTCAGCACAAAGAAATGTGATATGAAAGATCTAATAAGAGACTGTTTCTTCCCTTCAATATAGCTTTAAAAAAGAATACCACGTTTTTAAAGCTACAACATGCTGCTGCTTGCACTGCAAGAGATATTTTATATTTCATTTAATTTTTCTTTGAATCATTTTCTTGATAGTCCAGTTTTCTAACAGTTTATGAAAGTTGTACAGTATTGCTCCTATTTGTTTTGTTGGGTAATGTGTAGGAGCTAATGATGTTGGGAAAGGTATATCAGAGGAGCTAATAAATAAGTACAAGGGGGTTGATAAAGGCAGTTACAGAAAAAGACCATAACTTAATTGTGTCAGGGGTACTGCTGAGAATTAATTGTGGGGACAAAATTATGAGTAGGTCACTAGGGCTAAATGCTTAGATTAGGTTAATATGTAAGGATGAGCAGATGGGATGTTTGGATTTGTGGGATCAGTTCAATGGAAGAAGGGAGTTTTTTGAAATGGATGGTTTACAATTAAATAGGGTAGACTCCTGTTTGTTTGCAAGGACTAGTAACTCAGCTGTAAGGGTAGATTTAAACTAGAACTAGAAAGTCGTGGGGCCAGGATAAACTAAATGCAAAAAAATAAGATGTAGAGAAAACTTTGGCATAGGAAATGAGTATAGATGTAGTTCTAAAGATAAACTTTAATTATTACTATTGTAATGCTAAATGTAAAAGCAATAAAGTAGATGACTTTAGGGCACCGGTAGGAATGGGGGATTTTGATATAATGGAAATAACTGAAACATGGTTAAACGTAGATGATTTTAATTACAGAAATTTATTTGAAATACTGGGTTATAAGTTATTTAATAGGTATAGAGTAATAAAGAAAGGGGGAGGAGTGGCTTTATAGGTAAAATGTGAATTACATCCTGTTGAAGCTGAGGATATCAAAGCTAATAGCAAGGAGATTGAATCCA